GAACATCGCATGGCTGCCCCGGCAGGTCACCCGGAGCCTCGGGATTCCCGGGAGTTCCGGGAGTCCGGGAGGTGCCCGGGCAAGCTCCCTCCTGGCTTCCAAGTAGGAATATTGCTCTGGTGCAGGGGCTGGCTGGTGTCCCACCCACAGCTGTGCTGACAGCAGAGCATGTTGGGCACAAGCTATGCAAATGCCCATGTTGCCTGGGTGACAAGTAGAAAGTGAATTTGGTCTTCGGGCTGCTTTGTAACAGCACTGGCCTGAGAGCTGAGAATAGCAGTGGATGGCGGAGCCACATAAAATCCAGGCTGAGATGTTATGTGACTGTGGCCTTGGTCTCGCAGTGGACAGAGACCAGACGTCCCTGGAGATCAACACATTGCTCATCACACAGAATTCCCTGTCCTGCAGCCTGCATCATTCACTTGTCATGTAAAATACTGTTTAGGTTGATGGGTTTTGAATGGGTAGAGGGATGGTGGTCTTCCCTCAGGACCACTGGGGCCACTCTCTGTCCCTGCCCCACCTTGTCACCTCTGATTATGACGGTGCTCAGCATTGTCCCAAAGATGCCGCGATAGCCCCTGGGGAAGCCAGTGCCATGCATATGGCCCCCGCATCCTCACTTGCCTGAACCCAGAGCAGTTCCCTCTTTGTCAGAGTCCTTTTTGGTCTCACATCCCAGAATTTAATCTCCTGTAATGTCACCAGTGGAAGATATATCCATTAAAAAAAAAAGTTTAGGACGTCTTGGGGGTTCAGTGTTGAAACCTTGTAAGAAAGGAGTTTTTGAGTAAGTTAAACAATTGCTCTGAGTGTTGCCAAGTGTGCGTGTATGGTGCTTACGCGATCATTGGCCCTGCCTTTGCAGTTCGGCTTGGTGGGCTGGCCCTCTGCACTGTGCTCCAGGCCGAGCTGTATTGTTGGGATCATGGGTTCTTGATTCTCACTTCTAGCTTGGTCTCACTACCACACTGGCTCAGGGTTGTTAAGACAGAAAGCGTGTGGCAAGTTGTGTAGTTTCGTGGTGACTCTGAGGCCTGGTGTGTCCTGGCAGCTTTTCAGAGCCCGGCTCATCTTTGCCGGGGTTAGCCTCACCAGTGCCCCAGGCGGCCTAGGGACAAGGCCTCTTGTTTCCCACACACACCTGCTTCCCTAGATTGAGCAAGAAGGCATGTTTGACTGTGATTATTTGGGCATTAAAATGTAATTAAATTTCCTAGTGTAACCTGGGACATGTTACTTGGGATGTAAGTTGAAGATGGTCCTTGGTGGTAGCTGACGCTGTGTTGTCCTACTCTGAGCTGCTGCACACGCAGGGCTGTCCGGGGCTGTGGACACCCCAGCTTCTACCCTGCACATGGGCCCGGCCACCTTCCTCCCTGGCTGGCTCCTCCTAGCCCCTGGTGAGTCACCAGGGACCAGCTCTAGGGCTTGCCTTCAGCACAGTCCCTGCTCTAACTGCTGCCCAGGTGAGCCAGGGTCTCAGGTCACATGGTCCTAGCCTGTCCCAGGGAAACTTGGAGCCCATGAATCCACTTTCTTCCTATTTTTAAGGGACTGTTCTTGGAGGAAACATCTTAGAATTTGGCATTGTTTTCCATTTTGGTTTATTATGAGAAATCAAATACTTATGCACCGTCTAGAATACGATTTTTACCGAGCTGTTTGCTCCTTCCCCCAGCACAGGGCCCTTTGGCCTTCCTGCCATTACTCACGGTGGTCTCCTGGAATGTCCGTCTTTCCTTCCTGAGTAACCTCCCTTCGGGACTCAGCATGGGGATGGGCCCTGTGCCTTCCTGCGCAGCCCGCCTGCCTTCTCGGCCATCAGGTTTCCCTCTGTATTGCCCTTGTCGTAGAACCTTGTTTACTTGTTTGGCTCTTTCGCTCACCAGAGTGAGCTTCGTAGGAAGAGGCACTGTTGCCTTTCTCTCGTGACTGGAAGGAGCCTCTGTGTCTTGACTCCATTCTGCTATCAGCCTGTATTTCTCTGGAAAGTGTACATGTTTTTCTGTCCTCGAGGTGGGGCTGCGGTAGTGGCTTCTTGTGGGCCATCCTCACTGAGCGCAGCACCAGGGGGGTCCCTTAGGATGGGCTGTGCATTGCTGTGCCGCACTTGGTGCAGGTGACACGTGGACTGCCCATCAGACCGAGTGGGTGCAGGCACGTGCTTCAGAGTTGGAGCCCAGGGCTTCGCCTCTCCTTGCAGCCAGGCCTGGGGCGGCAGGAGCCGCACCCTGCAGGGAGGAGCAGGGACTATCAGGAATGGGTTCCTGGAAGGAAATGCAACGCTGATGTTGAAGGAGTCTCCTTGCAGACATGTGGGCTGGCCGTAAAGTCAGTTTCTCCAAATAACACAGTTCCTGATCTAGACCATGGGAGATGAACCCTGTTGCCGTGATGGGCTCTACACTCAGGTACCTGTGACTGAGTGTGTGTGAGCAATGGAGAGGCTTGGGATACAGAATCTACACTCAGGTACCTGTGACTGAGTGTGTGTGAGCAATGGAGAGGCTTGGGATCCAGAATTGTTTGTACTTAGTAGCTCATTTAGTTCTTTTAATGAGTCATTGTAATAGATCTTCCTAAAGTATTTTTATGATTTAAACTAAAACCGCGTTACACGACTGATCTAAGAGGTGCTGTTTTTCACGTAGAGCCGAAGGCCTGGGAATGGAGGGTGTGGGAGCCAGCTTGGCTGCTGTGCCACAGGACCACACACGGGGCCGAAACAACGGAAATGTGTTTCTTCACAGTCCTGGAGGCCAGAAGTCTGCGAGCTGGTGCCGGCTGGGCCGCGCGGTCTGTGTGGCACTGATGGCCGGAGCCTGGCTGGACATCCGCAGCCAGCCATGGCGCTCACGCCGCCTGCCCTGCGTTAGCATCGTCAGGCCCAGCGCGTGCTGGAGCTCGTGGTGCAGGGCAGGTGTCGGAGGGCAGCGAGCCTGCGGAAGCAGGATGCCCGTCCAGCTGTTTCTGAGATAGGGGCTGGACCCTTGGAGCCAGCAGCAGCTTCAGCACTGTGCCAGCTGTCAGGGCTTTTCTGGGCTGGCACGGCCCTTGGAATTAGTGGTAATGGCTTCCTCCATTGAATATTGTCCAAAAGCAATTGTTTGCTGGCTTAAAAGCGTGCGCCGTGTTGTGACGCGTGCCGCGTGAGAGGGCAGGCATCTGGCGTCCTTGCTGGCTGAGATGCTGCAGTTTCTCATCTGTCAGGAATCGGGTGGGTGTCCCTTTGCCACAAATCCCTGCATCAGCCCCTCCCAGCATGTCTTTTAATCCCTTTCACGTCCTTTATATTTGCGATAAAGGCAGAACTCTAAAAAAACTTGGGCAGACCTCTCTTGTGGTGTGACTTTCACTTTTCTACCGTCTCAGTCACTGTCTCCCCTGCTGTCCCTAAAGCTGGAGTGGAAGGTGTTTCCTCCCAGACACTGCCGGTTCTGGAATATAAAATTGGCTAAACGAGTGGTTTGTGTCTGTCCCCAATATGACTGGTTCCCTGGTTGGTGTCATTTTTACCCCTTTTTCTGGTCCTGCTGAGGCCCCAGTGATACCTGGTTGACATGAGGTTTCCCATCTCAAGGTGCTTGCTGAGCCCAGCACTGCACATCCTTTCTCCATTTTAGTAAGTCGTGGTTTTATTTTGAATAAGCCTCTTTCAACCTATTAATATTAGTCTGAACTAAAACCTTCCCCCAAATTCTTCTCACCCAGAAGAAGCCAAGTAATTTTGAAAGTTAAATCAAAACAAAGCAATCTGGTGTGTAACAGATAAAATCACAGACTGTGGTTACGCAGGAATCGCTGACAGAGCTGATTTCCTCCAGCCTGTTCTGGAAGGAGAAGGGAAGCGCCTGGGTCTCAGCACAGTCCTGTTCAGCCCAGCAGGTGCCCGAGGGCTTGTGGAAACAGTCTCGGAGGGAGCTGCACTGGCGGGCGCTGTCTTGGGCGGGGTGGGGTCTGAGGCTGGATCCTTGTGCTCAGCCCGGGTTGTGGCCAGTGGGCTTGTGGCTGGTGGATCCGTGGCTGGTGGGTTAATCATTAGGAGCCTCCCCAGACAGAGCAGAGTGCTGGTCTCAGGTGCGGCTCCCATTAAGGAACCCACTAAGGTGGCCTGCAGAGCTGACTGGGACATGGTTGTGGCTGCTGGTGTGGAGTTGGATGTGATCCGTTACCACCCTGGCTGCTTCAATTTATACCTTGAACTTACCTTCGGGTTAGAGGTGGATTAGAACTCAAAGCGGGCCCCGAGGCCTTAGGGACCGTCCATACCCGGCAACAACTTCTGCAGTTTCTTAGATCGTCATAAACGTAGGGGTCACGGGTGGAGAGGCCTTTTTATTTTTCATTGTGCTGCTCCCCACGGCAGGGTGCAGGGGTTCCGGGGGGAACTTCCCTGTCTGTGGCATGGGCACAGTGCTGGGCCACAGTGTTGATCCGGTAGAACCACCACACACAGCCAAGGCACAGTGGCGCACCAGGGCGCCACTTTATTGAGCTTTCATGGAGCACGTTACCCCAATTCACTGGTTTCTCAAGTAAATAGCCCCCAGAAAGCCACCCTTGTGGGGGAGTGTCTGAAACATACTTGGACTGTAAGCTACTTCACATCTATGCAGGTCGTTCTTTCCTCTCCCCTGCACCCTGTCCCCTGTTCACAGGACGCCAGCTCCAGTGGCCCGGGCGGCAGTTCTCCAGCACGGGTGGGGTGCTGCTTTCCCAGCAGCCGGGACGCTTCCTCACGAAGGGGCAGGACACGTGGTCTTCAGAGGGGCTCGCGGAGATGCGGGGATTCTCTCTCTGAGTTTTCCAAACATTCTTCTGGTTGCTTTTTCTCTGCAGATTGGTCAGCGTGCCTGCTGTTTATGGGGAGAGGTCTGCAGGGGGAGTGGGCGGGCGGGCTTCGGCGAAGGGCTGCCACCTGCTGCCGTGGAGATGGGATTGGTTCACTTCAGTGAGGGCCGAGAAAATAAGCAGCTTTTCTTTTGTTGTTTCAGGTCTTTTTGAATAATTACCAAGAAGCAGAAGGTCCCCCCCACATGGTTGTCTTAAGGCTGTTGCGTTACATTCTCCGTCTGGTGTGGAGGCTGCAGTGACGACGGGTTCCCTGCGGAGCCGAGATGTGTGCAGACATTTCACTTGTTCAAGCCGACGAGCCGGCGTCGCGGCCGCCGTGGTTCCCGGAGGGGCCGCTGTGTCCCGACACGTGGGGCCGCGTGCGGACTTGACCTTACTGGTTCATCGCCACGTGGCAGAGTCTGATGGAATTTGTGATGAATGTAAATGAGAGCGTATTTTCTTTTTTTAAAAAATGTACTGATCATGGTTCTTTGGAGCAGGATTTTATGCAAGAAGGGGGTATAAGAGCAGGTTTTTGAAAAAAGGAAATGGTAATTTTTAACCAACTCCTAAATGAATTTTTACTAAAAATTTAAGAACCTAAAATTGTAAACTCAAGTGGAAACTGAGCCAGCTAATTTCCAAAGCTGCCTTAGTTTATTTTTACAGGCTACTGTACAGAATTTTTTAACATGAGAGGTATGTATGATAAGGCCCCTCCCTGCCTACCGTTGCCTCTCTCACCTTTTTTAAATCATTGTTACCAAAAAATTCTTATAAAATGGAACTGATTAAAGGGGCAGAGGGTCTTTCGTCAGCCTGTGTTGATATGCCACTCCCATTTTGTAAATATTTACTTACCTCCTTAAATTCAGTTGCATCTGTGGCAAAATCTCAGCCTCTCTGTGTGTTCCCTTCCTTACCTTCTTCTGTGATGCTCCTCTCGTCCGTCTTGGGTGCTGATCCACAAGTGGGGTCCAGTCCGTCTTCCTGATAAAGTGTAACTGGGTCAGAACGTGACTTGGAATGCGCCTGTGTCATCCACAGCTCAGTCAGTCGGTCCATTGGTAGCTTACTGACTGGGAAGTGCTTGGTACTGGCTCCACGTGGTTTGGTGGGCTGGCGTTGCACAAGTGTTCTGCAGAGGTGATAGTGGTGATAACACAGACACAGTATTAGGGCCCTTGGCACTGTCGGCTTTTCTGGGTGCAGGCTGTCCCCTCATCCCAGGAGGCACTCTCAGCGTGAGGTCCCAGGTTGGCTCACGTGCCCACCTGCAGCTGAATTTGGCTGCAGGTGTCTAAGCTGGAGTCCTTGTGGGAATGGGCACAGGCCGTGGGCAGGGCTTTGGATGGCCGTTTCCTGGGCATCCTTGCTTTTCACCCAACTCAGAGTCGATCTGGCCTTTGATGCCCACCACTTGGTTCCCGCTCTTCTATATCCACTCTGAAATGCAGGCTAATTCATCTCTGAGCAGTGCCATGAAAAACTGCAGGCCTAAGTCCGAAACGGTCCTTCCTGACAGATGTCTACTTGGTCTTTTCTCTTGGGACAGGTGGGTCTTGTCAGGCCTCCCTGTGTGTTCACTTCTTCCTCCACGCTGGCCTGTGAGGATTGCCGTGAGTGGGGTTCTGGTGGGGAGGGGTGGTCAGTCATTTCAAAGGCATTTAAACAATGGGGAAGACCCAAGACGGACAGGTTAGAGAGCAGGGAAGGAAGGGGAAGGTGCAGATCATTCTGTGAACCCCGTACCTCCTACAGTTTTTGAAACCTCAGATGATGAAACAGCTTTTTAAGAGAAATACGTGATTTTTCAAATGAGTCAGCAGTGCCATCGAGGACCAGTGTTTTCACATTGAACCGAGTGGGGAAATTCACTCATGTGTATCTTCATAGTTTTATATAAATATATATGTATACATATATGTACATATCTATGTGTGTATATATATATATTTTGCATATACGCTTCTTTCTTTAGGTAGAGATATTCGATCCCAAATGTTCTTCCTTTTTTTAAAACTTCCTCTCCCCCAAGTACTTCCTTGGGGTCTTGAATATTTTTTAAACTGTTGAGTCTGAGCTTGTGTTCTCGATAGGTCTGGAACCCGCTTGCCGGGTCATAAAGGCCACACGGTTGTGAGGTGGTGGTAGAATTGCGGCCGTGGGCCTGCTGGACACACACACCAAAGACGTATTTGGCCCTGGGCCCGTCCGCTCCCGGGATCTCCGTACCCATGTGCCAGGCTCTCCGACTGGAGCACTTTACCCTGCTCCTGGGAGCACGGCGCAGCCCGGGCCGAGGGCTCGCCGCTCGGTAGTTTACCTCTGGCTTGGCCGCTGGCCGAGGCCGCAGCCTGTGAGGAAATAAATAAAATTCTGTGACTTGTAGAGTATTAACAGGATGTTGCACCAGGACTTGAGAGATGACTGGATGTCTCTGTACTGTACGTATCTGTTGATCAAGATGCCTCCTGCAGAAAGTATACCTGCTGTGGTATACCTTTTACTTTGTTTTATGTTTCTTCTTTTTTTTTTTCTTCCCCTAGAAAAAAAAACTAGCTCCCTTTTTGAAAATTTATGAAATGCGGGTTGTTTTGTGCCTTGTCTTCATCTTCTCATGTGAGGTTTGTCGACAGTGTCCTGTGATTATCACAGAAATGCAATAAACATACCCAAAATAACTTCATGGTGATTCTTTAAGTTACCTGTAGTCCTGCCGAGAAATGAGGTTATGAAGAATTTTATTTTTTGGCTGTGGAAAACAGGTAAAAATTCCTTCTGATTAAAAAAAAGTGTACATAGTTGAACCGTCTGTTTCCCCTTTTTAATATTGTACATATTTTGACTATTTATTAGATTAGATTATATTTTACTTACCAACTGAGCCAAATGTCTGTGTGCAATTGTGTTTCCTTTACCTTTCTTGTAAAATTTTGTACAGCATAAATGAGCAAAAAAAAAAAAATCACTGTTTTTACTAAATTTTTCCAGAATTAAGGATTGTAAATATTGTAGATTCTTTTTCTGTGTAATGTGTCCTACTGGTTCATAGTGCTGTAACTTGTAGAAATATTGTATATTTATTTCCTGCTTATTTAATGTCTTAAGGTCTGGAAAGTGTTGACCTCTCTTGACAGCCCCCCCACCCCTGCCATCCTGTTAATTGCTTTAACTCTGAGGTGGGGACTGGTCAGCTCACTAGGCCACGCGGTCTTCCCAGGGTGGCCCTCCAGCTTCGGTTCCTGGTATTTCTGGTCAAATGGGTTTAAATTCTTGGACTTGGCTATCCTTTGGTGAAGCTCATGTTTAGACACCAATGAGAGACCATGAATTGGGCAGGTTACAAAATTCTCTAAGAAATCCCCAGTGACTTTCTATTTGTTCCAAAACACAGCTAGCTTCTCATGGAAGCAAATTCTATTAACTCCAGGACTTGGCTTTAAAAATCGTGTTATCGGCAGTTGGGACCGATTTACCCATTGAAAATTTACACCCGACAACTCAGTATTTAAGGGCAGGGGACAGGCAGGAGGGGCTGTTCCTGTTTCCAGAGTGACTTGAGTACCTACCTACTCATGCCACTCACCCCTTGTTGGCACCTGGTGAGCTGCACCCCCCCACCCGCTGTGTGGCTTTCTGTGCTTTGAGGTATGGACTAAATGATCTTCAGGAGCCAACTGTACAGGCCCCAGCCTTGAACCATTTGGTTCCTCATTGGGGTCAGCCTGTGCGTTCAGGTTGATGTCCTGCTTCAGGAGAGGTTGGGGGCCCTACAGGGGTGGGTGTTAAGATGTGGAAGCTTCAGAGACTTTCTCATGCTTCGGTGTAGGTGGTCTGTCTTCCCTGCTGATTTAGCCTAGTTCCTGTGTGTGGCCACTTTGCACACCTGTGTGCAGGAATGTGTTCACACTTGAGGCTAAAGCAGCTGGGATAGCTTCTGTTCTACTCCAAGCAGCATGGCGTGCAAGAAGCATCTTCAAGCTCCCAGCAAAGTAACTTGACTACTTGTATTGGGCAATTCCAGACTTTAGAAGCTCTGCTAAGTTCTATGTCCAGGCCCTGTGACCACTAGTCACTGTATCGGAACTCATCAGGTACTCCTGTACAAAGAGCACTGATCTGTGTGTATACTGATCCATCACTAACGTGTTCCTAGGACCCAGCATATGTAGCATTCGTATTGCAATTTCCCTGGCTCACTTGTGGTTTGCACTGATGAATTTTGACAGGGTAATTGCCACTTTATTGTGCAATACTGCTGTAAATAACTGCAGATTTTTTTTAAAAAACTCAATCTTTTTATGTTCTTATTGAATTTTATATAAATAAAACTTTCAACTGGTTTCGGTGAGCTGTTTGATTTGTTTCCCAAGGTGGTGGTGGAATGTCTGAAATTCTATGTGCACACCCACTCTTTGCCAGCCGCAGAGTGTGTCACCTGTGTGTAGGTTCTGTGAGCTCTCGCTTGGAGACGATCCTGCGTGTTATGCTTGAAAGGAAGCCACTCTTTAGAGGTTTGGAGTGGCTGGCGAGTCGATGCAGTGTCTACTCACATGTTCAGATATGATTCAGCACCTGGTGGAAGGGGTATCGCGGGCCGGCTCGGAACAATGTTGGTTAGTGATGACAGCAGAGACCCTGCCTGCCGTCTCACCCCGGCTCAGAGCTGGAAGAAAACCCAGATGCTGGGAAGTCTGCTTAGACTCCAGGAGAAAGGGCTTGTCTGCCGCACCTGCCCAGACCCCAGGGAACTGCCAGCGAGGGCCCCTGCCTGTGAACTGACCCATGGCCACCCTATAAAGGGCCCATCGGGCCTCTGCTGCACATTGTGTGTGAGCTAGGTTAGGGATGCAGAAATTAAAAAATGATTTGGGGATATAAGCTACAAAAATCCTATAATTACATAACCTGACACTTTTGCTCAACTAAACACTGGAAAGGTTCAAGACCGTGGCTGAGCTTTATTTTAAAGCAGTACATGAATCTGCCTTGTAATTATGTATGTATGTGTGTAGATGTGTACATTTATTACTTCAAGTCAAGTTGTTCTGGCTCCCAGCCTACTTCCTCTCGAAGGCAGGAGAGTGAATTTTTCCAGATTTCTCTGCGGGCTGGGGGGGAGGAGGGGTGATTACACAGGTTTAAATTATTTTCAACTGGGTTTTTCATTTTTCCTATTGATGGTTAGCTCTTTATATATTCTGGGTAAAAATCTCTTATATGTTGGAAATATTTCTCTTTCAGTCTGTTGCTTATCTTTTTTCTCCCAACATTGTGAAAATTTGCAAACATACAGAAAAGCTGAAGGAATTTTACAGAGAGCACCACACAACACATCGCCTAGCCTTCCATCTACATTTCATTAAACCTGCTGTATCACATATCACCCTACCCATCAATCCTTACTTTGTGATGTATTTCAAAGTAAATTCTAGTCAGCAGCACCCGTTCTCTAAATACTTTACATGCATATAATTTAGAGTTCATTCATTTCTCATTAACTCTTTAATTTTTGAGGCGAAACACACAATAAAGCATATGGATCTTAAGTGTGCATTTGCTAAGGTTTCGCCAAGGATACAGCTGTCACCCAAACCCTAATTACAGGCACTCCCCGGAGTTCCCTCATGCTCCTTAACCACCCCCTACCCCCAGAGGTGACTCCAGATACTTTTCCACCATAAATGTGTTTTTATGGATCATTTGAATGGGATCATGTGGCATGTGGTCTGTGTCTGGTTTCTTGTTTAGTATCATAGTTTTGATACAGTTGGGGTATGTGCAGGCAACCAATTGATGGGTCTCTCACATCGATGTTTCTGTCTCTCCCCCTCCCACACTCTCTAAAAAAAAGACAAGAATGGGTTGTGAGAAGATTGAAAATGACAAGGCACAGTGATTGTCTCTAGTTTTCCTTTGGGGTAACTTCTACCACTGGGTCTCCTGAATACTATCCTTTCTAAGGCAAGCCCTAAGTCCATAGAAAATTCTCACCAAGGAGAAGATAAACTATACAGTGGAACCTCGGTTCTCGAATTTATTTCATTCCAGAAGGCTGTTCAAGAAGCAATTTGTTCAAAAACGGAATCATTTCTTTCCATTAGAAATAGTGTAAATTGAATTAATTCGTTCCAGACCCCCAAATGACTCCGTTTTAACCTTTCTTATATACAGTACATGTTTAATCTGTAAACAAATACTTGTTAAATGTATTGAACCACCCTCTAGTAGTCTTAAATGAATCATTTTCAGCACTCATTCAGTTCCGGGGTATCTTTGAGGAGGTCAGTATGCAGCATTTTCGCTTTTTCACATATCACTGGTTAACTACCTTTTGTTTATCCAAATCAACAACAGTTTTTCTACCTCCTCAATTGCCTGTGATCATTGTTTCTTTCGTACTTTTAGCAACATTGGCACTCATGATGGCCTCTTTATGTTTTAAAATTGTGCTAATCAACAAAAGCAAAAAAAAAAAAAACCCACAAAAATATTCACAGCACAATTTCCTGAGATGTTAACAAGGTGAGGTTTAGTGCTAAACTGACTCACACTGGTGCATTCTCTCCTTTGTGGCCTGAGAGACACTTTTTGTCATGCTGATGTATCAGCATGAAATGGTTGTCAGGTAGAGAAAGAAGTTTGTTCAAAAACAGACACTATTCCATGAGCAACTTGGTCAAGAACTGAATCGTTCAGTGTGGGAGACAGTTGAGAACCGTGGTTCGACTGCATTAGAATGTCAGAGGCCCTTTTCTGGCCTGTTACT